CAGAAAACGGTGTCCATGATGCCTAGCTTTATGAAGAACCTTATAAATTAGCTGAAGTCAATTTTAGCCTTTGTTAACTCTAACTTCCACCCTTGCTTGCTTTCATTACCAGTAAGGCAAAGCAAGATCAATGTTGTCCATTGTGGAATAGAAAGAAAAAAAAAAATCTATGCCATAACAGAGAAAAATGCTACATAAATAGCATAGTTAATGATGTCACTGTGCACAACATTTTTCTACCAGGTCAGTGATGGAATGGGTTAATCTAACTTTTAAGATTGGATCAGTGCTGACAGGTATTGCCTCTGCTGTCCTGCCTGTGGTGGAGATGTGAGGAGGAGAACTGTTAACAGGTAATTGGGAAGGATAAGGCCAAGCTATTAGAATACCTGAGAAATAAGAGAAGAGAAATCAGTGCTCAGGAAAGCAACTGTTTTTTGGTTTTTTTTTTTTCCCTTTGTTGTTCACTTTATCATGAACCTGTGCTTTATGATTCAATTAGCTTTGTTAGGCTTTTTGTTACAATTTTTTCTACTTTCCAGGGATATTCTCCACTTTTCTGCCTGAGAACTACAGTTCTGAAACTTTACAAGTCAGCAAAAGTACATTCCTAGTTGTTTTAATGAAACTGTAAAAAAGCTCCCATTGATCAGCTGCTTGTCTTGACATGATTCTTTGCAATGTGCTTTTGAAGTGTCCTACAGAACAAGGAAATTTGAAAGTATGAAAATACTTTTGCTAGAATTGAATATAGACTACATCATTTTTATGTATTATTAGTATTTGGTCTGCATGTTTTATACTAAAACATATCATGTTACATTCAAACCCTGTATCCTAAAGCTTTTCCTGTTCTTTTCCTACTGCTGCCCAGTTATTTAAGAGAGTACTTAGATCTTTCAGTCTCAGACCATTGCTGTGCAAACTGCAACCTCAATTTATAACCTCAACTATTACAAAATTAGCTTTGCTTACTTTCATACATTTTTTGTTTTAGTAAAGTGCTAAAAATCTTGAAATATTTTTAAAACGTCCATTGTCCATTCATATTGATCTCAGAAATGAAGTATTGGCATTACAATGGTTTATACCAACCATCACTACCACCCCTGCACTGTGATATCATTTGCTATATACATCTAATTTGCTGTAGGCACAGTTAATGGCTGTAGAAATGAGCAGCCCTCTCAAATTCCGGGTTCCCCACTGCTCTGAGCACAGCAGCAAGCAGACTATCGTGGTCTAAGAAATCAGGATTCCCCTTGCCCTCCTGACTGATTCTGAAATACTTGACAAGCTCTGAAGCACTTCAAAGTGGTCAATGCAAAGCATCCAAATGCTGCCATAAGCTTTGCAAGAACAGAATGCTAACATGGTTTTTTAGTATCCTGAAGCAGTATGACTTGTTGCTGTGTGGAAAACTGGAATTGATGTGTTTTTGATCAATAACAAGAGTTCCCATGTTGTGGTGATGTTTTTCTTGTGACTTCTAATCTATACACAAGTAAAAAAAATGAAACATTAGTAGACATTGATAGGTGAACATGTTAATGACATGGAAGTTATCCCTTCCTCGTTTCTACAAATCACAGATCTGAGTTCCTAAAGTGCAAAGAATAACAAAACAGGTTAAAAGTGTATCTTCTAATAGAGAAACTGAGTTTAAGAAACCTAGCTTATGGTCAACTGCTCATTAATATGAACTTCGGAAGAGAAACCTTATTTCTTTCATTGTTTCAGCTGTGATAAGAAAATTGGGATATTCTCACCTGCAAAACTGCATTCAGGCAACTTTTTGCAAAAGAACTTTTGGAAAAAAGAAAATCTCCTGTGGCTTTGAAGTCACAGCTTTCATTTTGTAACACCTCAAACTAAATGTAATGCCTCATACTAAAATACCAAAACCCCTTTTATTCCCCCCCATGGTGCTACTAATTTATATTGCCCTGAAAAATTGTCTGATTTAGACTGAAAATAAGTGGAAGAGTATAAACTAGTTTCTTTCATGTGATGGGAGCTGAAATTTCTGCCAACTAAAACAAGCATAAATTCAGGAAATGTCAGTGAGTAGATAAGAAGGGACAAAGTGTCAAAAAGAAAGACAAAAAAGCTCTATCAGTAAAATATTCCACACAGACATCAGAAGTTTAACAGACTTTAGAAGCAGTGCAGATAGATTTCTCCCTTATTTGGAGTATCTGTTTTCAGGGATGTATCCAAGTAAGGTGAACAATAGCAGCTCTGTTGGGTTATATTGAAGTAGCTTTTCTTGTTGCTTTTGGCTATTTTTTGTTAATGTGAATTCACATCAACACTGTACAGACAGAACTTTAAGGTTATTCTTATTCCATATTGTCATTTTTAAATAAAATTCATTTGTAGTTCATGTTTATGCTAAACTATATTAAAATTTTCAAAAGCCCTTTAAGTGTTTACTCACAGACCAAAGATTCCATGTGTTTTCCTTTGTAAAAACTATTGTGCAGTATTCAGTTTAAGCTGAATGTTTTTTAAATAATATAATCTGTCCCAAAATATTAGTATTTATTAAATTGAGTCAATTTCTTCCTTATTAAATCATTTTTCTCCTATGCTTTCTTCCTTGATTTATGATTCATATCTTCCAGTCTTGGAAGTCTGATTCAAACTCCATGAAATTCACTGGAGTTTAAGTTGTGAGAAATACAAGCAAGACTGTTTTTCTACTGTGTTCCAGCTGTGTACTTCTCATGCTTATTTTCTCCTCAGGTCTGAGCGTTTAATAGGATTTCTGTCTATTTGCCATGCTGCTTTTTCTGGCATTTCTTATTTCCTTTCCTGGCTCCTGATCAGACTCCAAACCACCAACCATTTAACACCTTCTAAACAAATAATTACATTTACAAGGGTCCAGAACTCCTGTGTACTGAGATTCATTTTATTCAATCTGAGTTTCTGCAAGGTGAGGAAAGAAATATCTTTCTTGAAAATCAATTAGAAGAAAAAGCACACTGCCAATAACTGTTTTGCACCTTCAGAACTATGTATCAAAATAGCTGCTTTAGTATGCTTAAACATCAGTCAGGCTCATCTGCATCTATTCTTGTTCTACTATCCCTAAAAATGCTTTGTTTGCCAGTATTACTTCAGGTACCATGAAAGTGGCTGGATCAGTAACATAAATCAGCTTCCCAGATACCTGCATGTGTTCATTCTAATTGTTGTTTGTTCTTTGGGGTTGTTTTTTTGTTTGTTTGTTTGGGTTTTTTTTTTGTTTGTTTGTTTTTGATCATTCCTCTTCCTCCACTCTCCACTGCCTATGGTAGTTCATTGAGTTAGAGCGTGCTTTGGACACTGTTTATGTCCCTCTTTTGGATTTCAGAAGTTTCCAGAAAACTACTGGCATTAACTACTAATGACTCCAAAGGTAGGCATTAGAATTCCATTCTAATGGAATGGAATTTCTTGTCGTTTATTCTCTCTGCATTTGAAATCACATCTGACATTTCCTTTTGCAAATCTGCAAGAGCGTGAGAGCAGAAATGAACAGAATGTGAAAAAATGCAAGACACTGAACTCTCAGGAAAAAAAACAACAATAAAACAGAAGTGATTGCTGACTGCCATTAGTGAACAAATAGCATTTTCATTAAAACTATTTTTAATTAATATGTAAAATGTTATTGGAAAGCAGTCCTTGACCACCAGTATTTCTAACATTTAACTGTTTGACAAGATATTTGTAATGAATTACTCTGTAAAATTATTAATTCAGTGCCCAAAGGAAAACCACTGTGACAAAATACAACAGAAGACCATACCTCACAAATCAGAAAAAGGTGAAAGGTGTGGCCCCTACATGAACACTGTAACATCAAAATCATCAAAGCTTTGAAGACTCTTCTCCAGAGATGTAGAAGTCAATAGAAGCATAAAGTTAAATCTGAGGAGAAATACCTAACCTCTAATCTACCATCACTCCTATCTGCAGATTGCCCTTTCAATCAAATGCTTTCAGAAATAAATTCACAATGACACGTCTTCTGTTCCAGATCCTCAACTCTGATTAAGGTTTTACATGTGACTTCAATTTGAAAGGAAAAACAAACAAAAAATATAACGGTGCTCTGAAGCTACAATAAACTACCAATATTTGGCTAAATATAAATACATAATATATTAGGAAGAGAGAGAGCTTATCCAGTAAAATCCAAGTATGGAATGAAATCATCAAATTAGATGCTTTGTATTTAAGCATTGAACCAAGGCACAGACTCCAAACTTTTTACTTTACACGATGCTAGTAATTCCATGGAAGCTGTCATACATCTGCTACTAACTGATTCTAGAAAGGTAAATGTTCCTTGCTTTGAGCATTTTGGGAAGCTACACAGCAGAAATGTTTGACAAGACTGAAGATTAACCGCTCACAAAGTTATGCCACTGAAGCACATGGGACTACGTTATGAGTAAATTTTCAAGGGAAAAAATAGATGCTGAAAACATGTTGATATATTACATTTTATCATGTGTTCAAGCAGATTTTTTAAAAATAGGAAGTTCCTGTCTTAAATCCTACAACTACACTGAATTTTTTTATTTGCATAGATAAACTAATTCTGGTTTGCTGAAGTCAGGCTGCTTCTACCAAATGCCATAGCTGAAAGCCTTTAAATAGATTTTATAGCCTTTAACAAGCCCTGCAGGCCTCACGGCTCAGTCAATAAGGATGGGATCTATGATGATATATAGCGAGTTACAGAGCCTAGGCTAGGAAAATTACATTTCGAAATCAGATCTTGCCAGTAGATTCCTACAATTGATTATTGTTTAACTTTGTTATCTCCCTATATATATATAGAAATGATACCTTACTGGCTACACTCAGGAGTTAATATTACCTTCAGAAGTGCAATTTCAAGGTGGCTTTGAAAGATGTGGGGTTTTCACTGTCAAAACATTTTTGAAACATTCAGCAGTGAAGAAATTCCAAAACCTCTTCCGTGGGAATTTATTGAGCGGTTTAATACTCCTATTACTGCAATCTGCATGGTGTTGGAAGAAATAATAGAGTTGGAAAAATAAGAATATCAGGTCTGCACTGGTCTGTTTGTGATTGGAACACAATGCTCATTTTCTTGTTGTAGGATCTTACATGAAAGCCACAGGGGCACTGGGCAGCTATTAAACCCTCTGTGCATTGCATGCTCACATCTGGCAAGTGAATTTCAAGGTGCAAAGCACAAAGCCACTCACTTGTATAGCCCAAAGCAGCACCTCTTTACTCAGTTACTCTAGGTTTTGTAAGATCTCTTTCATGGAATATAACAAGCAGTAGGTACATCAGATACAACATAGCTTAGGAACATATCTCCTGACTTTTGAATATCAAAACCTGTATTGTTTTTGTTTTGTCATTTTTTCTCTAATTCATACAGACACAGCACATTCTGAAGCACATTTCTTGAAGTCCATGATTTCAAAGGAGATAAAAATGTTCTTTTAGGGTTATTCATTCTTACTGACCTTGTTTCTTCATACAAAGTGAGTCACGCCATTCCTTCTCCTAACCTGATGCTGGGAAGATCTGAACATTCAAAACAAAGCAATTGTAAGATGGTATTTGTTTATAAATTAATTGAAAAATTAAGAAATAAATGTCAATTTCAATGTCTGGAAACTATCATTTGCTACAACCACCCTTCAAAATGATCTGCTAAAATAAACATATGGCTTCGCTAATCCACTGGCATAACTCCTCTGCAGAGAGCAGCTCTCTATCAGTGATGCTAAAGTAATTTTCAAACCTCTGTACAATTATTAAGTACACAATAGCTATTGCCATTACCCACAGCTCTCCACTACAACTTTAGGATACTCTGAATACAAATACACTGAATGAAACAGGATACTTGAATTTTAAGATCCCTCAAAGAAAGGGACTATATGAATGCAAAACATTGTTATTAAACAGTAGCAACTGGGTTGCAGATCATTTACCTAGTCAGTCACTAATCCTGGAGAAATCCCCTGTGCTGAACTTCTCATTACAAGTACAATACAAAAGCAAAGGATAAATCCTGTAGCTATATTGACTTTTTAGTGAATGGTAATGCTGGTGTTTTATTGGATGCTATGATTACAGTGTCATTACTCAGTCCATTCTCAAGGTAATACAAGTAATAGACAGCAAATGAGGGAAAGAAACATCTCATAAGTTTCAATTCCAAACATGACAAACATTTTTAGCCCCCACGTTTCAAGAAAAGCGACTCAAGAAGAGATTCTCTCACCAAGAAGAGATTTCATCTCAATAGTTGTTCCCTGTTAGGAAAGCAAAACCCTCAAAGGAGATCTAGGAACACGCTAGCATAATCTTATAACTTTCTTGCCTATATTTAAAAATGATGAAGGAAGAACTTTACACCTGCTAATTCTCACTTGCATAAAAAGGAGTTCACTTTCAAGCCGTTCTGTGTGTTAGTGACAGCAAGATCTTCTGAATTGGTTCAACCTTTTAATAAAGGTTTTGACAGGACCTTTTTTAGAGCCTCTGTCATTGACAGCTGGGAATTTTTTTCCTGGCAATTTGCTTGACCTAAATACAGTTCAACTGAGAAATCATGTTTTTTTCCCTAATAAGAGTCACAGAATCACAGAATTGTAGGGGTTGGAAGGGACCTCCAGAGATCATCGAGTCCAACCCCCCTGCCAAAGCAGGTTCCCTACAGCAGGTCGCACAGGTAGGCATCCAGGCAGGTCTTGAACATCTCCAGAGAAGGAGACTCCACCACCTCCCTGGGCAGCCTGTTCCAGTGCTCCGTCACCTCACTGTAAAGAAGTTCTTGCGCATGTTTGTGCGGAACTTCCTATGCTGCAGTTTCCAGCCGTTTCCCCTTGTCCTGTCTCCACTCACCACTGAAAAGAGTCCGGCCTCGCCATTCTGCCCCCCACACCTCAGATATTTATAGACCTGGATCAGGTCCCCTCTCAGCCTTCTTTTCTCAAGGCTGAACAGACCCAGTTCACTCAGCCTTTCCTCATAGGAGAGATGCTCCAGGCCCTTCACCATCTTCGTGGCCCTCCGCTGGACTCTTTCCAAGAGATCCCTGTCTTTTTTGTACTGGGGAGCCCAGAACTGGACGCATTTGGAGTCCCTCCCATGCATTTAAAAAAAAAAAAAAAAAAAAAAAAAAAAGTTTAGCATTGAGAAAAGTCCAGGCAGGCTTAGAAAAAAGTTCACATGGAGTTGGTCATTGTGCTTACTGCACACATGCACAGGGTAACTTCCCATGTAAAAAGCAGAAAAAGGCAATAAAATCCAGAAATTACTCAGCTGCATGCATAGAAGTATATAACTTGTATTATTAAATCCTTGTTTCTAGCCAAAGTAGCTAAGGCACACGCAAAGATTTGTACTGCAATTTAAAAATATTTCAGTAGAGGCAGTTTTCTGAAGGAACATCACATCCAGGGAAAATCTTGGTGCAATTGTATTGAGCAATTTCAAGGATTACTTTTAGCGTAACTAAGTAAGTGTGTAATTTGTGCTAGGCATCAAAGAATAGCCACATTAATCCCAATAAACTTTATTACTTCTCAAATTTGACTGACAAATGAAGCTTCCATTATTTAAAGCCTACACAAAATTCAATGGCATTAGATTATAGAATATGATACTTTATTACGAGCTTGTTGACTATAATAATTGCTGCATTTTCTGCTGAGAATTATGTTTTTTCAAGATTGTTCTCAGGAGCCCCACTGACAGTGTTTCAAGGCCAGCAATGTCAACAGTGACAGGATACAGTAAGTTTCAATTTAATGTATTCCTTTTGTTAACTCCCTTGGTACTTTATGCTTGAACAGATATGACAGATCTTCTGGCAACATTTATGTGAATAGAAGATAGATTAAATAATATGTAACATTTCAAACCTCCTTGGGTCAGTTTCCATGGAGACCAAAGAAATCTACTAGAAATTAAAACACAGGATCCAAATTTATGGGATGGAAATATTTGACATAATATTTTGAATTCCTACCTCCTGAAACAAGATTTCATCTGCTTGGTTAATTGGGGCAATGTGCATTCCATATACATGACTTTGTGAAGAATTAAGGAGGCAAAATAAGCATTTTTTAAAAGGAATAGGACATTTTTTAATACATGATACATCTAGATACATACCTGATACATCTAGAAAGATTAAATTCTCTGAACAACAAGCAAATAATCAGGCTTAACATATGGACTTCTGCTGGAAACCAGAAACAATGAGATCCAGCTTTCACAGGCAGCTCAGCTGACATGGAATAGGAGCACCATCGCATAGCTGCACAGTCTGCAGCTGAGGCATTAGTCGTGGCAGCTCTCCATTGGTGGGCCTTATCTACTGGATATATTTAGATGTGTAACATCCTTCTTTTGGGCCTTTATTTGCTCTGGACACTTTGCCCTGTGTTAGGTGCAAAATCCTCAGTAGGGCAGGGCAAAACTGTTTCACTTATATACTGCACCAATTTCAATCAGGATCCCCTGAAAGCCCAGAAACAATGCCCTAAAAAAATGAAAGGAAGGAGAGGAAAAAAAGGCATTGTCTGACACTCATGAAATAGTGGTATTAACTACTGAGATGAATACACTTTTAGACACAGTGTTCTTTGTTTAGAATTGATGAATGCGTGATTAGACTGCTGTGCAGCAAATTGCCTTAGAGTGGGAAATAGCTCCCAGGAGCAGATTTCCCAACTTGTTGGCCAGCTTCTAAAAATGCAAATATCTAGAGTAATCTCTCACATTCAGTCCACATTTGTGTTACTTGAAGTCATATGTAGCTATCAAAAATTGCACATCACCAGTAGTGGAGCTGCTTATATCAATATTTAAATACTTTCAAACCATTTTAAGTAACAAATACAGGATTGTCCAAAAGATATGTGAGGAAAATAACAAGAAAAAAAATGAAGGAATAAAGTGTTTCTTCTACCATTAATTGTTTACTTTGGGGGCACAAAATGTACCTTCTACTTTTTTATCATGATAAATTGTTATAATAGCTGGTCCACATTGTAATCATCAGCATTTGGAATTATGGTCAAGAGATTAAATAAAGGAAAACTGATAATCCTAATTACAGCCATTTGTTTCATTTTTGAGAGATTCCAGCAAGAAAAAAAAAAAGAAAAAAGCTAGCTAACTATAAAGACAGATGGCAAAGAGACCTTTTAAAGGTTAACATTATAAAAATCTTAGCTCTGAATTATCTAAGTGGATCAGACACATGTACTTTATCTGAGAGAATTAAAAAATATAAATAAAAGCACTTGATATTTGGAACAAAATAATGAACTACACTGCTAAAATAAAGCAAACAGCACTAGTAGCTGGAGATAAGAGATCACTCAGTTTGGCTTCTAATTAAATTTCAGGCCAATTCAGAACGTGGATATGAGCATAGGAACCATTTTACGGCAATATAACATTGATATAATCTCTATTTGGTTAACTAGGAATAAATTATGTTTGGCTCTTTCACCTTCTGCAAGTCACTTTTTGGATTATAAAAGCTTGAGCTCAATTGAAGAGTTCTAGATCAAAGCAACTAGCATGCGGCCTCCTCCACCCAGAACTCAGTTCTTTTCTCTTCTTGTGTCTATGTAGACTATCACTCTTCTTCACATATCTTTTTAAAAATTGTGCTTTCTTCAGATCAGATCAGAATGTTAGAAATCTTGAATTTAAGTGGGTTTTGGATTATATACCACCCGTAATGCATTCAATAATCTTAGGACACTGCCAGAAAAAAATAAACATCACTACTATTGCATACTCAACTAAATATATTTTATTTAAAATCACATGCACTAAGTTAAAATATCTTCTGAGATGTAGCCAAAAGAAGAAAAAAATATTAATTTCTGAGTATAATCTTAAGATTTTAGAAAATTCAGAGCCTTCATGCTATGTTTATATCGTATTTTCAAACAACTGCTCTCTCACTGAAGAGTCTGGCTACAGATAACATTAGAGATTTTGTGTTTTTAATAGACCAGTTCTCCATAAAAAGTGCTGCTTTGTTGCAGTTGAAAGATGCTGCAGAAATATGTTTTTGTAAATATGATACAGAAATAAAGTGCATTAGTTTCAAATGTACTGAGCTTGAATTTTCTTACAGTGCACAAACCACTGTTCCCAAGTCATCTGGTAAGGAAATTTCTATCGCATAAAACAAACAACACTTTCTCCTTGTCTGGGGTCAAAATTTATGTTAAAACGTCAGTGTTTCCTACAAATATTAAACTGATAGTCAACCAACACTTCTCAAAGTGAAATCCAAACCAGTTCCATTTATACTGGCAGTCTCATAGGAAATTTCATTGCTTTATGCATAAGAGACTTGAAGCTGTATGCTTTTCCTTGTACTACTACTAAAGAAGCTGTTCTTATCCTTACTCTCTGCCATCAATAGAGCATGACATTACTGGATATTAATCCACTGCATATGTTTTCCAGATAGTGAACAAATAGAAGACCCTTTCCCAGCAGATCTCTTTATGATTTTGTTGCACCCTCAAAAGAGAGCA